GGATTCACTTTGACATAATTCACTTTGACATAATTATAGGCACAGAATATCATTTGTTCTAATTCAGTCCCCAGTACTTCTCCTTTCCCACCCCTCTTCTCTCCCCTATTTCCTTCCCCCTACTGAGCTTTTGCTATTTACTTTTAGTTTATGGGTTTTTTGTTTGTTTGTTTTGTAGCTGATGTCTTATAGGTATACATGATGGTGAAATTCACAGTGGTTTATTCATATATGTACATAGAAAACTTAGGTCAGATTCGTTTTTCTGTTTTTGCCTTTTCCTATCCCCTCCTCTCCCTCCCCTTCAGTCCCCTTCATCTAATCCACTGATCTTCTTCTATCTTGATGAAACATCCCCCTTCCCCTTTCTCTCTGGTTATTTTTTTTTTTAATTGGAGACCTTGTGTTTATTGTTAGTATGTAGAAATGCAATTGATTTTTTGTTTGTTTTGCATCCTAGAGCCTTGATGAACTCACTTATAATTTCTAGGATAAATATTTGTTTTGTAAATTGCTTGAAATCTTCTACATATACCATCATGTCAAGTGTAAAGGTAGACAGTTTTCTTTCTTGCTCTATGATCAGTTTGCACTCTATTTTCTTTTCTTGCCTTATTTCATTGACTACAAACTCCAGCCCTCTCTTCCCAATTTAGTGGGGAAGTATTCAGTATCTCACTACTGCATGTAATGTTGGCGGTAGGGTTGTTTTTTGTTTTTGTTTTTGTTTTTTGATAGATGCTCCTTTTCCAGTTGAGGAAATTCCCCTCTATTACTATTTTACTGAGTGCTTTTTATATGATTGGGTAATGGATTTTTGCCAAATGTTTTTCTGCATTAATCAATATGTTAATCAGCTTTTAGTCACCGTGACAAAATATCTGAGAAAAACAACTTACAGGAGGAATGTTTCATTTTAGCTCATGGTTTCAAAGATTTCAGTTCATGATCAGCTGGTTCCAAGACAGAAATATCATGGTATAAGTTTATGGTGACAGAAAGCCCGTCTCTTCCTGCTTTTAGAGAAAAAGGGGCCAAGGACAAGATATAGTCCCTAAGAGCACACTTTCAAAAACTCAGTCCTTTCACCTAGGCCCCACCTTCTATAGTTTCCACCACTTTCCAATAGTCCACTCAAATTATTAGTCAATCAAATGGATTAATCCATCAATGAGGCTTCATGATCCAATCATTTCCTAAAAGCCCCAACTCTGAATATTGTTGAACTGGGCATGAGACTTATGAGTCTTTGGGGGGACACTTTATATACAAACTATAACATTCAATATAATCATAGGATTTTCCTCCTTAACCTATTAATACAGTTGATTACCTCAGTTGATTTTTTTAATACCTTTGTTTAATTTATTTTTTATGTGGTGCTAAGGATTGAACCCAGGACCTTGCACATGCTAGGTGAGCACTCTACTGCTGAGCCACAACCACAGCCCTCAACTGATTTTTTGAATGTTGAACCAGACTGGAATAAGAGCTACTTGATCATGTTGTGTAATTCTTGTTATATAATAATGAATTACACTTACCATACTGTCACCAGCTGGCTGGGCTTTCGAGATGAGCTGGGTTCAAAGGAGCTGGCTGTATCAATAACTAAGAAAATGGCAAAGAAACCACGCAGCACATGAACATGAATTTGCAAGAATGAGGGCAGGACGGCTCGGTGACCTCAAGGGTCAACTCCACACTGGGCAATGCTGGAAAGAGCAAGAGAGCGAGCACATTGGACACCCTCCTATTTATTGGGGAGAAGACATTCAGTAGAATATTTCACCCAAATAAGGTAAGGGGTAGGGTTTTGAAAGGTGGAGTCTTGCTTGGTGATGTCTTGTGGTCAGCAGATTGATTGACATCTTGACAAGTCACACCCATCTCTAGCGCTGTGAGGGATCACAGGCAGAGGGAGAGGAAAGGCATATTTGCGTTGCACAACCCAATCAGTGCCCAACGCCAGACCAGTCCCCTCATATACTCAAATGCTCATAGCTCACACACAGAGCCCAGGGATGGCTCGTGACACCATACTGTTTAGGATTTTTGCATCTGTATTTATGAGGAATGTTGGTATATAATTTACTTCTTTGTAATTTTTTCCCTGATTTTTGTATCAGGGTCATACCAGTTTCATTAAATGAATTGGGAAATATCACCTGTTCTATTTCCTGGAAAATATTGGGTAAATTGTTTTTCATTCTTTAAAAATTTGGTAAAGGGGCGGGGGTTGTGGCTCAGTGGCAGAGCGCTTGCCTCGCACATGTGAGGCACTGGATTCGATCCTCAGCACCACATAAAAATGAATAAACAAAATAAAGATATTGCATCCGTCTATAACCAAAAAATATTTTTAAAAATTTTGGTAAAATTTTCTAGTAAAACCTGGAGGGGTTTTTTTTTTTGAGGGGAGTTTTTAAATTATAAATTTATTTAGGTCACAGTTATGGAACTATTCAATTATCTATTTCATATTGGATAAATTCTGGTAATTTGTGTTTTTTGAGATATTTGTCCATTTGATATATGTTAACAAATCTAAATGAGGAGAGTTGATTTTTATAGGGTTAGCATAGACAGGCACTGTTTCATTCCTGATATTGGTAGCATATGTTCCCCCACTTTTTTTCCTTAGTCATGTCTGCTGTGAAATCTGCTGCTAGTTTAATGGGGTTTCCATCAAATGTGACTTTTCTCTTGCAGTTTTTAGAAGTCTAACTAATATGCTATGGTGAGAACCTTGCTGAATCAAATCTATTTGGGATCCTTTGGGCCTCCTAGACCTGGATGTCTATATCTTTCCCACGATCAGGAAAGTTTTTAGCTAGTGTTTCATGGAATAAGTTTTCTATGGCTCTTCCCCCTTCTTAACTTCTAGGACCCTTGCAATTCAATAATCTTTTTCATTTAGTTGTTCTATAACTCTTGGAGGTTTTCTTCACTATTTTTATTTTTATGTCTGTCTGTCTGAGACATTTCAAAAGGCCTGTTTTTAAATTCAGGAATTCTTTCTTCTGCTTGATCTAGACTGTTGTTGAGACTCTCAACTGTAATTTTTTTTTACTTATTGAGTTCTTTAGTTACAAAATTTCTGTATGATTCTTTATCATGATCACTATTTGCTGAATTTCTTATTCATATCATGAATTGTTTTCCTAAATTTGTTTATTTTCTCTTGCATCTCCTTGAGTTTCTTAGAATAATTCTTTTGAATTCTTTAGCAGGCATTTTGTCAATATTTTTTTCTTTGGTGTCTGTTGCTAAAGAGTTGTTGCATCTTGTTACCTTGCTTTTTCTTATTTATTGTGTCCCTACATTAATATTTGTGCATCTGGTACATCAGTTGTTTCTACCAGTGTTATAAAGTGGCTATAAAATGACTTCCCTTAAAGTTGTGTCTAAGTGCATCAATTGGTAGGTTACATGGATGTTGATTGCATTCGGGTGCCATAGTGTATTCAACCTAAATGTTTTTCAGTTGTAATCAGTGGCTTTGGGCACTGGCAGCATCAGTGGAGTGTTCAATGCACAATCTCAAGCTCAAGCTTGGGCTGTGATAGTGGGCATGTGTGGTAAATGTGCCTGCAGGCCCAACAGTGGTACATGAGCTGACAGTAGCAGCAGGTAGTCAGGGATGGAGGTGGGGAACAGGTCTCAAGTCCCAGGGGCAAGTACCTGTGTTTATCAGGTCATGGGAGTGGCAGCCCTTACCAGGCACAGCCACCTTTCCTCTCTGGTGTAGCATACTGTGTGGGATGCTCTGGTCACAGTTGAGCTTCTGGGTCTAGTTGGGTTCCTGGGACTGCAGCCTTTTGTGCAGTGTGGGGGAATGTTGGTGAGATTCTAAGAATGTGAATATGCAGAGATTCATAAGGCAGTATGTGGTTCCATTCTGAAAAAGGTGACACACTGTAACAGCCTGGGCTCTGGAAGTTTGTGAAGAGATGATGTGGGTTCCTTCCCAGAAGCGAAGCCACCCTGCATAATTCAGGTAGCTTCCTTAAGTGGACCTCAAACCCCTGATGACAGCCACAGTTTCTGTGGTGATGGGGCTTGGATAAGATTCTTCATCTACCCTTTCCCTGGATGTGAGGAGTACACCTAGCCAGGGAGCTGGGGTTGTGGTTGCTAGTGTGCCTTGTTCTTCTCTCAGCTGTCATCCCAGGTCTTCATATCTTCTGAGTTTCCCTTGCTGAGTTCCAGTGCTCTCCCTCAGCCACTCATCTTGAAATGCAGCTATTTGCCAGTTTAGATTCTTATTTGTTGAGGAGGAGGTGGGTGCTGAGCATCACTCTTTAGCTATCATGGAATCCTTCTTTATTTCTAACTCTTATTTCTGACAGTGAGAGTCATGGCTCCCAATTATTCAAAATTAATTTTCTGATTTGATCACTCTTCCCCTTTTGTGACCAAACTTCCATTGCTGCTGCTGTCCATCACCCACACGGATGCCTTTCTTATTCCCCCAGGGTCCAACACTGTACCAGGCAGCCCCTACACAGCTACACTCCTCACAGCTGATGGTTCTTAGTTCCTTTATTGCTCTGTAGATCTGTTTAGATGCTCCTTTCATCAACCTGAGCTGACAGAGAAATTCAGGAACCCCCTCTGTAAGGTTATCTTCCTCATAGTGCTAAAGTTCTGACTTTCTACAAACCAAGGATGCCCTCCTCATCCCACTGGATATGATATGCAATACTGATATGAACTTGGACCCTTGTGTGAACCCACCCTCCTTTTACCAGGTTTCCTTGATGGGCACTTCTCCTAGGCCAATGCCTTGCTCACATTCTTCCCCCCTCCCATTTACATATTTTATTTGGAAATGTTTACACAAGTACAGGGAAACTAAATTTTTGAGATAGTGGATGTTATTAGATTATCATCAGTTTATTATAAAAGACACATGGAAATTATTTACATGATGAAAGATTTCACCACTTCAGTGGAAAGGGCAGCTTCATAGGATGCCATTTCAACCGTGATTTGTTTCAGCCTATATACTTTCCAAGAATGTCACCATCTCTAAATAAGAAATAATCCCTGTCTTCTAGAACTGCTTTGGTGTCTCCATACTCTGGGGGAAGAACTTTATCTCCAACCTTCTTGCTAACTGGCTGAATCTCTCTACCCTTTCCTTTAGAGGCTGATCCCACAGTTACTACTGTTGCTTGCAATACTTTTCCTTGAGGTTTTTCTGGAGGCATAATGCCTCCTTTGGTTACTGTTTTGGCTGCATTCCTTTCGAACAATACTCGGTCAAAAAGTGGAAGAAACTTTCTAAATGCTTGTCTGGTCAGGACTCAAGTCACCGCAGCAGCTCAGACTCCACTTTGTTGCTCATCATTCTTGATGTCTCTACCGTGGTGAGTTCCCCCTACTCTCAGTGTACACCTATACTGTGCTGCCCAACCTAATAGCTTTTAGATTGATTGTTCAGGAAAGTGAAGAAAAAGGAAAGAAAAGAAGAAATACATTTTTTATTTTTAAAAAAGAGAGATACTATCTGTAGAAGAAAATACTCAGCCAAATCAGTAAAACATGCACTAACACTTTCACTCCAAACTCAAGAAAACTTATATGTAATCATCCAGTTGGCAAGAGACTACCTGTCTCCAGGAGATCTATGGCTGGTCTTGAGAGGCATGGCAGCTCTGGATGCCACATGATACCCTTATCCAAAAAGGCCCCAAAAGATCATCAACTGACATCCCATTCCTCACAGCCCACTCCCCAGAAATGGAAGATCCAGAGGTTCCAGTGTTGTTTAAACATGCACTCCTGAGAAAGAAAGTATAGAGAATGGAGGGAAGAAATACTCAAAGCATCAATGAGAGAATTTCCCACCATCAATGAAACAGTCTGAATGAGATTCTTCAGAATCATAGTTTAAGGACGCTTGACCGACCGCACCAGGATGACTGAAAACAGTTGAACTCAACATGTTCTGGCAAAAATCTCAACTGCTAAAGATGAAATAATGAAATATTTAAAGAGGAAATAAAAGCAACAGTTTCCCATCCAGGAATAAGTCAGATTGACACCCATGTTCTCAGTAGCAACAAGAGTTGCAAAGAGAGAGAGGAGAAACACCTTAAGTTTCCAAAGAAATATGATTTTTAGCACATAATTATTAACACCCTCAAATGTTATCCAAGTAGAAGGGCAAATGAAGAACTATTTTTTATGGTTTAAATATGAAGTGTCCCCCAAAAGCTCATATATGAGACAATGTAAAAATAGTTTAGAGGTGAAATGATTGGGTTATGAGAGCCTTAACCTAATCAGTGGATTAATTCCCTGATAGGGATTAACTGGGTGGTAGTTGTAGGTAGGTAGGGTGTGGTTGGAGGAGGTGGGTCCTGGAGGCATGCCCTTGGGGCATACATTTTGTTCTTGTTGAGGGCAGCTCTCTGTGCTTTCTGGTGCCGTTTCCTGAGCTGCCTTCCTCCACCACACTCTTCTGCCAAGATGTCCTACCTCACTTCATGCCCCAAGGAATGGAGCCGACCATCTATGGACTGAGAACTCTGAAACTCTGAACCCCTAAATGAACTTCTCCTCCTCTAATTGTGTAAAGAAAAACAAAAAGAGAGAGAAGCAAGCAAGGTGCAGGGGCAAAGTAAAAGGGGCTGCTGGCTGAGCTGTCAGCTTTATTTATATCCATAGGTTACATTAGGTCATTGACATCATTAGGAAATATTGCTCATTGTATAAAGTTACTGTTATAGAAGCAGGTTTAGGTGCAGTGACACATTGGTGTTGACTAAGAGAGTTCCTTTATTCTCAGAAGCTGAGTTTCTGAGATCAAGGTTGAGGCTGATAAGACTCTAGTACAGAGCCTCCTCATGAAGGACACTGCCATAACAGCTAGGCATTGAGCATGTATTAGTCATCTTATTAGTTCCAGGGAGAAACTGCAGAATAGTCCAAGTGTGGAAAACAGGGCGCCTGTTAACCCTCCTGAGTTTGCTCATCATAGGAACGCTGCCTGGTACATTTCCACAGCCAGAATCCTTATATAATCACTTGTCAAGCCTTTTGGTCACAGTGACAAAAAAACTGACTAGAACACATTTCTTATCTGTAAAAACCTGAAAAGTTTTCTATAGTTCCCGGAAATATATACTGGCTCAGTAAATAACGGTGAAAACCTCAGAAGGAAATGACACAAAAGGAAGACATGACTTAGTCCATTCATGCTGCTATAAGAAAATACTCCAAGCTGGGTCATTTATAAAGAATATTTCTTTTTTTTAAAAAAAATATTCTTTTTAGTTGTTGATGGACCTTTATTTTATTCATTTATTTATATGTGGTGCAAAGAATCAAACTCAGTACCTCACACATGTGAGGCAAGTGCTCCCACCCCTGAGCCAAAACCTCAGCGCCCCCCCCCCCAACCTAACTCTTAATATTGCAATGGGAATCAAATTCGAGAATTTCATAGCACATACTGAGCAGAGAGGTCATAAAAATGTACTCTTTAGTCTAAGCAAGATTTTACTGTAAATTCATAAATTTACAGAATTTAACAGGAAGTCATAATACAAAATTTACAACAAATTTATGTAAATTTACTGTAAATTTACATAAATTTACTGTAATAAAGATGTTAACAATATGTGAGACTGTTATAGGAGTGAGTGGAGGAAAAGGAAGTGGAGTAAGGTTCTTACCTGATTCAGGATGAGATGAGAGACAATGATTTGCTCCAGAATTTAACAGGAAATCATAATACAAAATATCAACATTGAAGTATATTGTAAAAATAAAATCAAATACATAATTTTAATATCAGAAATTATATTTTGGTTATTATGATAGATACCAACACAATGGTGGCTCAAAAAAAATGAGAAAATTAATTTTATCCTTGATATGATCTTAGTGTCCAAACTTTCCCATGCTTGTGATTGGACTGTTGTTCTCGCAGTCTCAAAATGGCTACCAGAGTGCCTCCTATCTTGGGTACATTTCAAGAAATAAGAAGGTTAGAGGTTAAGGGCAAGAAGGTCATCCTGGCCCCAGGAAGCCGAGTTTTCCCAAAAGATGGCTCAGTGTCTTCTGTTGACATCTCATTGAGCAGTGAGAGTCCCTTGACATCCCTAGTGGCAAAATGGACTAATGAAGGTCATCTATTATTTTTTCTCCTGTTGCCTAATCTTGGCATATGCTACTCCAAATAACTATAGTTCCATTGATGAGAAAAATGGGAAAAATGGATGCTGGCTAGGTAACCAGCATCCTGCCTTAACTTCTCAAATAATAAATGGAATAAAATTTTGAAGAATTCTCAATCAGTCCAATAATAGGTAGGGAAAATGGTCAGGGAGCAGGGGTCCTAGGTGGGAAAGCAAAAAAAAAAAAAAGAAAAAAGAACACAATGTGGCATTGTCCAGACATAACAGAGATTGAAATGTATGTGAATTTTTAGTAGTTGTTTATTATGATAGAGATTTTCTTGGCTGCAAGCAGACACACCTGTGCTTTGTTAACAAAGGGAAAAGGGAGTTGAAAATAAAGCAATGGGTCAAAGATCCAGCGCGGAGACACTCCTACTTATGATAATGACATGATGATTGGGATGAATCTTTTGCTAAAGATAATGGGAAAAGCTGGTCAAGATGTTTAAAGTTTTTTTCTATTTGAAGGTATCGAAAAGAAACAGTATATTAAAAAATCACTAGGCCATGATCCAAAGGAAGAAAGAAATCCTGAGCTGCAAGTCTGGCATTTGGGGTTGCATCATCCAACAGATGCTTCCAGCATCTTCCCTGTCCTAGGTGTGCCTCCCAACACTTTCCCTGTCCTCCACCTTAACGACCATCATCCCACTGCTACACACTGACACTCTGAGCCTGAAGGCCTCTGCCATTCCCCACACTCCCCCTACAGCCCCACACCAGCCTTGCACATTCTCACCTGCACATTCCACATGCGCTTCTCACTGACCCCTGGGGCAGTTGCTCTGAGGAGACCAGGACTTTAGGTTATCCCCTAGGCCCTTGTGCTCAGAATGACCTTGCTGCACCAGGTGGGGCTTCAGGGGCCAGCAGTAGGCAGAGATGAAGCCCTACTTCTATACTGGCCTCCATGACTCACTGAAATCCTGAGTGTGACCTTGGGGCCATCAAGGGCAAAGAAAGGCGCAGAACAAAGATATTTGAGACTGGGATGAGGCCTTGGGGTTTTCTGGCCTGCATGTATCCTGATCTCCCAGGAGGCTGAAAAAATGATCGCTCTGAAGCTAGGCCAGACATAAGGTATTTAGCCACAGTGAGGGAGTGGAGCCTGACCCCCATCCCCAATTCCACTGTCCTCATCAAAGATAATCCGAGCTCAATTTTTATTCTGTGTTTCTTCCTAATCCTCACGCTCCCCCTTTTAAAAGTTTATAAATTCTAAACTTTTATAACTTTATTGGCTTTATAACACATGAACACAAACAGAGAGAGGGATCATACTGTTCTTTAATTCGATTTGTTTCGCTTGTTGTTCGCATGTTGTTGGATAACTTGAATCTATGTTCCCAGGTCATGGTCATTCATATTTGGTTCAGAATAAACCATTTTCTTTTCTTTTCTTTTTTTTTTTTTTTTGGTACCAGGGATTGAACTCAGGGGTTCCTGAGCCACATCCCTAGCCCTACTTTGTATTTTATTTACAGACAGGGTCTCACTGAGTTGCTTAGCGCCTTGCTGTTGCTGAGGCTGGCTTTGAACTTGCGATTCTCCTGTCTCAGCCTCCTGAGCCTCTGGGATTACAGGTGTGGGCCACCACTTGGAGCTTCAGAATAAACTATTTTCTAATTTCCTCAAAGCAAAGTTGTTATTTTATGTCAAATGAGACACCTGGTTTCATTTTTTATCTGTGAGTACTTGGGAATGGAACTGTAGAGTTTAGGGAATACATATTTAACTTTTTTAGAAGCTACCAAACCATTTTGCACATTGGTTCTGCTGTTCCATACCTTCTACCAGCAGGATGGAAGAATTGCTGCTGCTCTGGGTCCCCACCAAGATCATTGCTGTCTGTGTTTCTTATTTTACCTATTCTCTAGGATGTCTAGGGGAACCTCATTTGATTTCACTTTCAGTTATCTCATAACTAACAATGGTGGGCATCTTTTCTTGTGCTTCTGAGCCATTTGTGAATCTCCTCTTGTAAAGCACCCATTAACTATTTTGTCACAAACTCTTTTGCTTCATTTTTTTTGTTTCCATTATATGACTTAAATGAAATCCATGTTTTGAATTCCTTATTGATGTATATTTAAATTGTCTCAATTTTTTCCAACCAGACCACAATGATAACTTTGTACACATTTATGTCAATGAACCAAAATTTCCATGCCATGCCTTTGCAACCAAATTTTAGGTGTCTCTGCAGGAAAGAATAGACACTTTCACTAAAAAGGGCCCAACTATTGGAAGCCCCTGGTACATGCATCATAGGTGCTCTTATGACATCAATGCTCTCTCCCCTCCTCCACTGTGGCAGAAGGAATGCAGACCTGAGTGTGATGAAACCATCTAGCCCCTAACCATGGGCAATTTAGAGGATCACAGACCTGAGGGAATTTGAATTATCTATCTCCAAATCATGGGCAATAAACTTTGTGTAAGATATAACCAGTTCACCCAAGTTGCAGGGAGGGGAAGGTGGATTTCCACAGTTAATCAGGATACTAGCCTTATGTCTAGGGATACTGGGATAATGAGGAAATTGAATATGTGGTAGAATCAACACCCTATTGTACACAAAGAACAGCCTGCCCACACCTCTCCCTTTTAACTGTTTACAGAAGGATGGCAACCCTTGTGAAATTGTAATTGTAAATGTTGAGCAGATCTCACCACAGAAAAAGGAAGAGGCAGAGGCAGAGGAAATAACACCAGAGGTAGGTGGTATAGACTTCAATACTGAGGTGACTTATGACCTTCCACATCTCTAACCCATGTCACCCAGAAGTGGTGTTTATCGTTTTGAAGTTCATTGCAGAAGGTGATCATGGAATTTATCCACCCAGGATATATTTGGGAGTGGAAGGTGGTACTCTTATGTATTATTCAGAACAAACATTAGAAACCCCAAATGTCCGGGTCAACACAAAGAGTTGCCCCATTATCCAAATCTGGAATGAATAGGAATTGAGTCTTCTTCTCCAGTTGTTAGCAACCTGAGAAAGGCCAATGACTGAGGCAAGCTGACTTGGTTGTGGGGGGAGGAGAAACCCCAAAGAGTGTGAGAACCCGACCATGCAAACTTGAAAAGTGGGGCTCTGAGGGCTGTGTTTGGGGAATGCAAGGCCAGAGGGAATCCCCACACAACCTGGAGTTGTGTGGGAGTGTGTGCATGAGCACATGTGTGCGTGTGTGTGTGTGTGTGTGTGTGTGTCTGTGTTAACTGAAGACCTATGTGTGGTAACCAAGAGAAATGAAAGTGAGAAATAAATGAGAGAGACCCCAAACTGTGTAGTGCAAGGAAACTTTTAATATGAGGAACTAGCAGAAAGAGGAACAGGTTGTGGATTGAGGTGAAACCAGGGAAGAGAGGGAAGGGCAAGAAAAGAATGCCACTTCCCCAGCAGGTCAGAGGGTATGAAGGGGAGGTGACAGGCCCAGGTAGATGGTCAGGCTCAAGTGGATCCTGTGGATCATAAGGTTCTTGCTCCAGGACCAAGGCAAACCAGGTGATGTAACAAAGGGCAGGGGAACCCCCATCCTATAGATGGCTACTTTGAGCCTCAGAGGTCAAGATGAATGTATATGTGCATTAACTGACATGGTAGAGAGAGGCAGGCAGAGGAGGACACTTGCTTGAATTTCTATGCCCAGGTATTGCTCTGTCCAGTGCTCATTAATTTCAGAGGAAGAGGAGATTGTTGATTGACAGAGGATCAGAAGCCCTTCCTGGCACATTCTTGGCTTGAGGTTGTTGGGGAACATGTCCTAAGTGTCATTTCTTTACTTTGTATCTCCCACTCCCTCACAAAATGAAGGAACCTTCTGACTCTACACTAGCAGCCACAAAGATCCAGGCTTGGTGGCGGGGCACCCTGGTACGACGCACGTTGCTACATGCTGCCCTGAGAGTTTGGATCATTCAGTGCTGGTGGAGGAAGACACTGGCCAAGCTGCTGGAGAGGAGACGGCGGACGATGCTGGAGTTGAATACACGGCAAATCTGGGCCTGTGTCAAGCTGCAGGCCTGTGTTCGAATGTGGCTCATCAGACTGCGATACTGTCGTGTGCTCAATGCTGTCCGGGTCATCCAGATCTGCTGGCGCTGGCATAGTTGCCACACCCGTGGCTTTTTCCGGGGAAATTACGAGATCACAGAAAATGAGCTAAAACTTCAGATTGACATTTTTCTGGGATCACAGATTTGTCGGATCACCGATTCCATCCCCTTCCCAATAAAGAACTGACCAGGTCTGCTCCAAATATGTGTCAGTAGATCTTTGTTAGACAAGCTCCTGGAGGTCTGCATCTCAGCAAAGAGCCAGGAAAATGATGGAAGGTACAAAGCATCTTACATGATTACTTGGGGGAATCAGCAGGGTGTGTCTGGGGTGCTGGAGTCATAAGGGGGTGAGAGCCCATGCTGGAGGAGAAGAATCTGAGATCCATCAGCAAGGTCTGCCATAGGTGGGAGGGTTGGGGTTGCAGGGTGGCCAAGGAGATCAGCTCCAGGGAGATTCCTTCACTGTGGTCTATGCAAGTGACACCCTTATGGTTGTACAATGTGGGGGCCTCCACCATCCTTTGCCCTTCATTCTCCAATACCTTCCCACTCAGTTTAGAATAAGTTTCAAAAGCCCTCCCTGTGGTCCATGTGACCTGGCATGTTCTGGTTCTAACCATTGCACCCTCTGCCGACATCCTCCTCCAATGCTCTGCTATCCATCAAACACCCCAAGCAGAAGATCCCAAGTGTGTCCCATCTCAGAACTTTGCACTTGCCACCTGCAACCCTACGGTGTCCCCAAAGAAGTTTCCAAAGAGTCACACCCAGGTTCACCTCTTGACTTTTGACTGACTGTAGGGTGACATCAGACTGTCAGGTCAACTCTAAGTCACCTTGACCCATGCTGACTGGTTCTAATTGGATTCTTAACCACACATTCGCATAGATTTTATGGTTAGGAGGAACTATCCGTATCTCCCAGAGTTTCAGGATCTGGTAACAAAAGTCTCCTTCAGGGTAACTTGGGTTCATCTTATCAACATTTTTGGGGCCTGCATTTCTCCTGCAGTGAACAACAGGTAGTTTGCTGAGGAATGTCACATATCATGTCCACTGAGGCCAGGCAGGGCTGCAAGTAAATTGCTTCTGGAAAAAAGAAAGCATGTGGGCCCATTTTATAGGATTATTTTTTAGAAGAGTGGGCCTATTTTATAGAATTATTCTCTTAACTTTATATTCATACCTTCCTCATCTGTCTGTTCCCTAACAGGGCCAGGACCAGGCAGAGGGCCCAACGTTGAGTGGTTCTGACTCTTCTAACTAGCCAGTCCTAAGCTGTTTGCTCAGCCTGACTTACCTTTTCATGGAAACACCAACCAGAATAGGCCTGAGCTTTCTCCTCATTCCATTTGCTGCCATCTCACAAAATCTGGAGCTCCTCCTCCTGAAACATTTTGGATACACAGTGACTCTCTCCATAGGATATGCTAGTGCAATAAACTGTTTGTTGAGCTGCTTCTGTGTCTTCTCTAATGGTTCACTGACCATACCTGGATCTGTGTCTGTGTTTGTGTGTGTGTTTATGTGTGTTTGTGTGTTTGTGTGTGTGTGTGTGTGTCTGTCTGTCTGTCTGCTTATACCTTGTAATGTGATATTTCCCTATAATTCCCTCTTTATGTTCCTCAGTATTTTTTTCTTGGTCTTTGCCTCCCTCCATGCACATTTTTTTTCTTTGTTCTTTTTTAGATATTCATGACAGTAGAGTGTATTTTGACATATTTTACATACATGGAGTATAACTTATTCTAATTAGAATCCCATTCTTGTAGATGTACATGATGTTGGGATTCACTGTGGTGTATTTATATATGAGCATAGGAAAATTATGTCAGATTCATTCCACTGTCTTTCCTATGCCCATCCCCCTTCGTTCCCTTCATTCCCCTTTATCTACTCCCCTGAACTTCTATTCCTCCCTTGCCCCTTGTTGAATGTTAGCATCTGCATATCACAGAGAACATTCAGCCTTTGGTTGTTGTTGTTGTTGTTGAGATTAACTTATTTCACTTAGTGAGATAGTCTCCAGATCCATCCATTTGCCAGCAAAAGTCATAAAGTCATTCTTTTTTTTGTGGCTGACTAATATGCCATTGTGTGTATATTCCACATTTTCTTTATCCATCTATTGAAGGGCACCTAGGTGGGTTCCATGGCTTAGCTATTGTGAATTGAGCTGCTGTGAACATTGATGTGGCTGCCTCACTGTATGCTGATTTAAAGTCCTTTGGGTATAAAATGAGGAGTGGAATCACTGAGTCAAATGGTGGTTCCATTCCTAGTTTTTGAGGAATCTCCATACTGCTTTCCCAGAGTGGCTGCAGCAATTTGCAGTCTCACCAGCAATGCATTTCCCCAAATCCTCACCAACATTTGTTGTTTTTTATATTCTTGACAATTGCTATTCTGACTGATGTGAGATAAAATCTCAGTGCAGTTTTTATTTTAAATATTTTATTAGTTGTTGTTGGCCATTTATTTATGTATGTATGTATGTATGTATGTGGTGCTGAGAATCGAACCCAGTGCCTCACACATGCTAGGCAAGTGCTCTACCACTGAGCCACAACCCCAGCCGCCCTCAGTGTAGTTTTAATTTGCATTTCTCTAATTGCTAGACATGTTGAACATTTTTTTTCATACATTTTTTGACCATTCAATTTCTTCTTCTGTGAAGTGTCTGTTCAGTGCCTTTGCCCATTTATTGATTGGGTTATATGTGGGGTTTTTTTTTTTTTTTTGGTAAGTTTTTTGAGTTCTTTATATATCCTGGTGATTAATGCTCTCTCTGAGATACAGGGTGGCAAAAATTTTCTCCCATTTTGTAGGCTCTCTCTTCATGTTCTTGATTGTTTTCTTTGCTGTGAAGAAGCTTTTTTTAGTTAGATACAGTCCCATTTATTGATTCTTGATTCTACTTCTTGGGCTTTAGGAGTCTTTTGACAGCATATTTTATAAATATGGTCACCTGATGGCTTCAGGGATGAGCACCTGACCTAGGCCAGGCCAATGAGAGTCAATCCTGGTGCTGTGATGGAATTACTGGGTTTGCCAACTGCAAGGATTACAGAACCAGAGCTCTGGCCTCCACATAGAAAAATCTTGCTGAGAATGGAGCCAACAGAGGAAAGTAGAGCCAAGGGATAGTAGAGAGAAACTAGGTGCTAAGGATTTTTTAACCCCTCAATCTAGCTGTTAAACGAGGTTTCAGTAAGGTTTTGTTTTAGACTAGTCTCCTGCATTAGGCCCCAGAGCACCAGACCAAATTATAGAGAAGTTGCTCATGCTAGGTGTCATGTCATCAACTTTGAAACAGGCCAGTTAAGGAAGGAAGGAAGGAAGGAAGGAAGGAAGGAAGGAAGGAAGGAAAGAAAGAAAAAGAAAGAAAGAAAGAAAGAGAGACTTATAATAGCCTACCAAAAGGGGCCTAGACTTCCTAAACTGGCATTAGGAAGTCCCCTTTGCTTTAATCCTATACTATAGTATAGGATCTGAAATCTCCACCAAAGGCCCATGTGTTAAAGACTTGGTCCCCAGGTTGGCACTGAAATTGAGAATGGTGGAACTTTGGACAGGTGGGCCTTAAAGGGAGACTTTGGGTCATTTGGAAGCATGCTCTAAAAATAGATAGTGGGACATCACCCTTTTCTTTTACTCTCTGGCCATGGAGTGTGTCAGGTTGATGAAGGTGACTTAGGAACAAAGCAACAAGCAGAACGCGAAAGAAACATCAATCAGGCATCAACAGAACCGCCTGTCTCGGGCCAACCCTGGATCTTTTTTTTTTTTTTTTTTTTTTTTAAAGAGAGAGAGAGAGAGGGAGAATTTTAATATTTATTTTTTAGTTTTCGGCGGACACAACATCTTTGTATGTGGTGCTGAGGATCGAACCTGGGCCACACGTATGCCAGGCGAGTGCGCTACCGCTTGAGCCACATCCCCAGCCCAATCTTGGATCTTAACCAGCTCCCCCAACCAACTCCAGTGAGAAAAGGGACTCTATAAACCTCTTTCCCTGTCCTAAACCCTCCCTTCCTGCCCTAAGCCCCATAAAATTCCAGTTTGGTGGAGCCCCCACATGGTTTCTCCTCAGACCCTCTTCCTATATATTCTGTCAGTCTGATAGAGTAGAATCTCAATAAAGCCTCGTTCAGCGTCCTTTTTAAATCTGCTTGCCTTTGGTTGCCACCATTGCCTGACCTTTCGGAGTGTTTGGTTTTGCTCCTCCATGCACTCCCACCATGATGCCCTGCCTTGTCAGAAGCCCAAAGCAATGAAGCCAATCAATCATGGACTGGAACCTTCAAAACTCTGATTCCAAAATAAACCTTTTCTCTTTTTAATTATCTCTGGTATTTTGCTATAGTAATAGGAAACTGACTTACATGACTTAAAAGTAAAGTAACTTTGAAATGACCAGTCCCCCCTTTTTATGATGTTTTGGCTCTTAACAGCTCTTTTCTGCCTGAAAAGCCTCATTCCCTGACTCATTGGGACATTGAATTTTTTTTTTTTTTTTAAAGAATGAGGTGTTGCTCAAATCTAGAGTCACAGATGCCAATTTGGTCTTGAAATTTGTTGTTATTTTGTCTATTGAGGGTTATTTGCAACCTATGAAGGGATCCAAAGGACGCTGGTGATGAACCCTGTGACAACATGAAGAACACAGGTGAGGCATCCTGGAGCCTCTTTTGAGATTTCCCGTGTGCCTCATAGAGCCCTTAGGGTTGTAAATTAAGTTCCTCCTAAGTTCAGACTCTATACTCTTTTGCATTAAACCCACTGATCCTTTTGTTGGTTTTCAAATCCAAGGTTAGTGGGTTATTCAGCTTTTCATTGCTAAGACCGAAATAACTGAAAAGAACGACTTAGAGGAGAAAAAGTTTATTTTAGATCATGGTTTCAGAGGTCTCAGTCCATGGTGAGCTGACGCTGTTGCTCTGGATCTGAGGTGAGGCAGAATTCGATAATAGAAGGAGAGTAGAAGGTGGAAGAAAGTTGTCAGCTTATGGCAGCTAGGAAGCAGAGAGTGGATGGAGTCCCCGAGGCCATGCTCCCAGTGATCTACTTCCTCCAATCCTGCCCCAGCTGCCTACAGTTACACCAACCAGTTGTCCATTCAAATTATTAAACCAGGGCTGGGGATGTGGCTCAAGCGGTAGCGCGCTCGCCTGGCATGCGTGCGGCCCGGGTTCGATCC